ATTTTTTCCGAACTATATTTCGATCATGTATATATATATATATATATATATATTGTATATCTATCATTTATTTATCCAAGACCTTTATTTCTGGAGTTTACAATATGTTTGTGAATTTAAGCATTTAAGCTAAATGTTTAGCATTTAACTTTCTCTTACCCCTGTTTAATCAAACACATTTAGTAAACAATAAAATATAAAATACATAACCGCGCGCAATAGTTTGGAATTCACAATTGTAAGTCGTTAATTTCCTTAAAATAAAAATAAAAATAAAAAAAAAAAACTAAAAAATATGGCAATATTAAATTCTATTAATTTCGAAGTAAAAAGAATTTTTTTTTATGGGTACAGCTCTCCTATCCTAGTTGTCTATTCTTCTTATTTTCACCAGCAATTAGTTACTATTGTGAACTCCAAAATGTATATAGATTTATTAGAGGGACATATATGATATTAGCTAAATATTTTGGTTTATACATCAATATAAGAACAGATAGGAGAAAGAGAAGAATTGGTAGCACATTCTAATACACTTTGTTATGTTTCTGTGATTCTTGCATGTATCACAATTTTTTAAAATTACATTGAGCTATGCTCAATTATTTTACATAGTACACTGTACAAATGTGACGTTCAAAATACACTTTCCAATGTTTCTAATAATTATGAAGTGTAATAATAAATTAAATTTTGTAGCATAAAAAATCTTACAATTGTATTGTATCTCTTATAATTGTTAGCAACTGCTATAAGGTTTGTACTTGTACATAGGGCAAAGAAAATCAATCCTCCTCTCTTAGTGTGAAATAAATTCTAACTTGTTTCATAAAAACATTGATTCTCGTTTTTATGTACATGTAAGTAAATGATCTATTTTTTTTGTTGGGTAATAAAATATACTGCTTGTGGAAATCCAAACAAAACATTTCCAGTTCCGTAACAGCCTTATATTCCACTCTCAGTCAATACATAAGTTAAGTTACTTGTACATATATTTAAATGAGAAGCAGATTTCGATAGATGCTGCAGTGAAAAAACTATGATGAAAATGAAAATTCCATAGTTTGGACAGAAAATAAATATTTTATAAATTAAGATCTCTATAAAAACACAAAACTAAGTTAAAAATTCAGGATATGGAAAATTTCTAATTTTGGAGATCCAGGATTACTGTGTGCATCTAATGCAATTAAATATCTTGCAGTGTAACATCTATCATCTGTCAAATGTCAAACTATATTTCTACGATCCTTTCAACACTGCACTTCAAATTCACTAAAATAATGCCATGGCCGATAAACATTTTGATAATTGTTGAAAGCAAAATGAACGATACATCCGTTTCACTTCAGGTTTATTAACAGAAAATATTTGTCCAATTAAATGTATATAGGCCTGGCAAGACATAAAGAAAGTAAATATGTTAATGTTGTCACACAAATGACAATGAGGACACCGTGTAGTTCTGCATCCATTCCATACTTTAGGATCTTTTCACCCACAGCGAGTCCTCGGCGAAGCATGTACAGCATTGATGGTGAGGCACTGTATCACTTGAGACACCGTTCAAAATAATATGATCCTACATAACCACCCCGCATAGCTTTTGCTACGTTTTGCTCAAATGCCCTTCTGTTGTTCTGTAGAACCTCAGCAGCATCTTTATTTAATGGATCTTCAGGATTTGGTTCCTGTCATTACATTTATTTGTCAATTTTAATAATATAAAAGAATTAACAGCAATTAGAGATATTAGGAATATCATCATGCTAAATATAAGATTATATTGTTATAATATCTTAAAAGAAACTTTCACACACAGGTGTGTGTGTGTAAATTTTGTTTCGAAAGTTTCTTTTAAGATATTATAACAATATAATCTTATTTTTAGCACGATTTTTTGTACCATATGTTGCAAGATATATTAATGTAATAAAACGTACTAGGAAAAGATATTGGAGACCATAGACAATGGAATTGATCGTGAGTACTGGCTTCCAATCCTCTCTCAAAATATTGAGGCACACATTACCATCCAAGTCAATATTAGGATGATAAACCTGAGTCTCGCATTTCACTTTTGGTGGCTCGTGCGGATAATTGGGTCCGACTTTGAAACTAAACACGAATCTACCACCTCTATAAAACCCCTGAAACAATCAACTGATTGAACCATAGGTTGACAACCTTGATATGAATTGCCATCGAATTGTTGACGTCGCAAAATGATTCAAATTTATAATTTTGGGACAATGAAAGTCATTATCCGATCCGATATCGTAAGGGATCTCTTGAAACTCTCCGGATAATACACGTGTACTCACTTCATCTGGACAGATGATTAGCTTAAAGCTTAGCAGATCATCGGGATCCGGAAATTCCGTACCGCATGTTTTCGGAAGATTGAGTTCGTTTATGTCTGAAAAAGGAACGCCAGAGATGAGAGACGGAGCGGCGTCGATGCGTCGCTATACAATCCCGAACCTTTTGTGATTCTCAACTGCGCCGCGGACGCCTTCTTCTGGGTGCCAGCCTTGGGTGACTCGCCATCTTTTTTCGCTTGTTTCAACGAGAATAATTTGATCATAGTTAGATCGCGCGCCAAACGCGGGCTAACATGCACGTATCTCTCGGACTGAGGTCGCGATCACGGATGGCATAAAAAAATCGCGCCTATAAAGATCAACAATTTTTTGACACCCGCGCGGGATCAATCGCTCGGTTGGTCCCGCACCACACGCACGTATCGCAGCCAGCAGGAGCTAGTGTCACGTGGACGGATGGTGGTCGCGAGCACGCTGATGTCACGGCATCGCGCGAGTATGATAACAACGGATCCTGCCGATCGACGCGTTTCTATTATCTACGAAGGGTTACTCGCGCTCGTGGATTTTACTTCCCCGACCGAAAGATGGCGCTGTCGGCGCGATATTTTCTCAGCCAATCACGTTTCACGAGACATCGTCTACGCTATTTGAATTTTAACGTTCTCGTATAAATTCAAATGGCGCGCACTTCTTCGCTTGTGAAACACGTATGCTGTTTTTTTTCTTCGCAATAAGACGTTCTAACAAGATTTCCAAGTGTCCCGTTGATGCTTATTTAAGGTAACGTATATTCGAAAATATTTTGTAATTTAGTCATATACTTTTCTGCCGATTTTAGAAATTGCAAAATTGCATGCAATTCGCGTATCGTTGCGTGCGAAATCTCATGATGTGTAACGATTCATTATATAATCGTAATTTGTTAATTTGCTATTAGCGTAATTTATATCGATATTTATCTATCGGATAATGCTAAATACAATAATTTTATTTGCCGAAACCCGTAATCGTTGATTTTAATCGTGAATTCATTCAAATAAAGTCGCGTATATAAGATAAAGCGACTATATGCATCATTGCATGTTAATAAGAATGTAACATATATATACAAACAAATTGGCAATATGCTCGATATTTGAACTTGAAATAACTTTACAGCGGAATGACGTTTCTAAAAGCGCTATTTTCGAATTGTCATCCGTTCATTTGAGAGAATCGACGATCAATTGGAGCACCCTCACTGGATGGGCAATTCTAACGCCAAGGAAAACTATCATAATTATCAGCAGTATGATAGTCAGGTGCGTGTCTTATCTGGATGTATATTCCTAACCTGTAACAAAATTATTTATGTATCATTAAAAAAATATTTTCTCTGTCATATATTTCCTTTATTCCACACTATACATTATAACTAAATATACATATCTGATATTAATGATGTTTTTAATTTACAGTATAGCCTTAGCAACCTACTTGGCGGAAGCTGCGTCACAACAACACAGGCTTCTAACGAGGAACAAAGATCATTATCTCGTGCTTCCCATAGAAGGTAATGTGAATAATATATTTAGCATATTAGATAATAGTTAATCTTTAATAATAGATCTTTATCTATTTAAATATTGTGGCTGAGTAGCCAAACTTAATTTGTATTTGTTGTTTCAGTTGGACCAACGGTGGTCTACAGAATATTTATGCATCTTCCAAAACAGTATGGCCAGTTCGACGATTTCAGTCAATCTTCCTACCAGAATTTTCAATTAAGGAGATACCTATGAAAACAGGATATACTTTCTTAGATATAATAGCCAAAGGTACTTATGGAAAAGTATATAAAGTGCAAAAACAAGAGACTGGTCAAGTCTTTGCACTAAAAGTCATTAGCAAAGCCAGGATTATAGCAGAAAATGCTGTCAAGCAAGCCAAAGAGGAGGTATGTGTATATGTCTGAAATAACAATATTGTTTTGATAAATATGCCATTGATATGAGAAATTTGATATTTTATACTTAGGTAGCAATACAGAGAATGGTTGGACATCATTCTTTCATAGTAAATTCTATTCACAGATGGCAAAGCAAAAAGACTTTATATATATGTACGTACATACTTCTATTACTTGCATTGATGTTTTAACTATAAATTATTTAAGCACAGTCTGAGATAAATTTACAGAAATAAATAATATTACAGTGATGGACTACATTTCCGGGGGAGAATTATTTTCACTAGTCGATGAGTTTGGTTGTTTACCTGAAGAAGTAGTTAGGATATATGTAGCTGAAATTGCCTTAGCTGTAGGTAAGAATAATTAAGAAACAATGACACATTATTGCTAATATATTATTAACATCTGTATATTTATATAAAACATGTATATATCATGTATAGATTTTCTACACAACGCTGGCATAGTGCACAGAGATCTGAAAACCACAAATGTTCTGCTTGATGAGGATGGCCATGCTGTGATAATCGATTTTGGTTTTGCCAAATGGTTGCAACGCACAGAACGTACAAATACATTATGTGGGACACCTTTTTATATGGGTAAGAAAATTTTATTATGGAAATATAATGCGAATTGTTTAAAAAATAATGATTAATAATTTTAAATATTGAGTACATTTTTCTATATTGTTTCGTTACATTTATGCAAACTGTCTTTTTTTTTTCAGCACCTGAAATCTTAAGAAAAGAATATTATGGACAAGAGGTTGATTGGTGGTCATTGGGAGTTTTAGCCTGTTTTCTACTTACAAATGAGGTATGAGTTAGATTTTTAAGTATAAGTCATATATTCTACTATATGTCCGCAACTCGACATTTTCATATCTCACTATAAGTATGCGACTAGAGTATCATCGTATTAGAAGCGCACAACATCATAAGACTCCGTGGCGCAACGGTAGCGCGTCTGACTCCAGATCAGAAGGTTGCGTGTTCAAATCACGTCGGGGTCATAAGCTATTTTTTTTTTCGTTCTACTAGAAATTATATTAATAATTAATTAATTTAGCAGTAATTGTTTTTTATTGCATTTGTTTTAAAATATATAATCAACTATGTGTCTTTTAATTTAATATTTATGTGTTCGAATTTATAGATCATAAAATTGGTTTGCATTAGTATTCAGATATACACATCGAGACTTTTATAGAGTTAACATAAAGAAACAAACGTGATTATCACGTCAATGTACAGTAATTGCAAAAAGATAACGCCCCCGGGTGGGCTCGAACCACCAACCTTTCGGTTAACAGCCGAACGCGCTAGCCGATTGCGCCACGGAGGCAGTTGACTGCGTTTCTCCGACAAGTACAGTTACTGATATCCAGGATTATCATCCACTTTTCGTAGGGGACCGTCTTTTCATAAACATTCATTAAATTTAAAAAGACTAAATCTCTACAAGAGAAAATGCGGAAACTAATTCGCACTATCCGATTCTGAATTTAATTTCACGCGGATTTCACTTTAATAAAATCTTTTAACAATAGCTGCAACAATTAATTATTATATAATAATATTAAAAATGGCAAAGTTCTTGCAATATATTTAATAGTAAAGAAACACGCGTGCTTTTAAATAGAACGAGCGAACGCGCTAGCCGATTGCGCCACGGAGGCAGTTGACTGCGTTTCTCCGACAAGTACAGTTACTGATATCCAGGATTATCATCCACTTTTCGTAGGGGACCGTCTTTTCATAAACATTCATTAAATTTAAAAAGACTAAATCTCTACAAGAGAAAATGCGGAAACTAATTCGCACTATCCGATTCTGAATTTAATTTCACGCGGATTTCACTTTAATAAAATCTTTTAACAATAGCTGCAACAATTAATTATTATATAATAATATTAAAAATGGCAAAGTTCTTGCAATATATTTAATAGTAAAGAAACACGCGTGCTTTTAAATAGAACGAGTTAATTTATGTCTTCGTTATTTAATCCGAGGTTTATTTCGAAGTTCAACATGAGAATCGAATAGTCGCGTTAATGTTAAAGGCGTGAATACACAGGACCATACAATGAAACGAAATAATCTCGCGTTGCGTCGCGTGTTGCAAAATTCTTTCTCTTGCACGCCTTGACATTTCGCCAGGTCCGCTCACCTTATATATCGCGGTATAATTGTTTACACCTGGTGCATCATCGAGCGTTGCTCGCTCGCCCTTTGATTAATCTGCTGCATTGCGAGGAGAAATGTCGGCGTGCCGTATGCGATATTCGCAAACAATTGCGAGACTCCATTGGGAATCTTGTGCAAATGCATTCTCCATGGATAGCCAATTCGTTATGGAGCTGCATTAGCGCGAGAATAGAAAGGTAAGTGTCAGCTATGACGGCATAAATTTGTGGATTTGTCTCTTGACGGTCGCTTGGCAGATTGATTTTGCCAGAGTTTGCTATATAAAAATCTATAATTCTTCAACTCTGAGTCAGAGATGAACAGATACTTAAATTATTTTTTCGATTATCTCTGAAAATATCGCAAAATATAATATAAATATTTTTTCTCCTTTCTATTTTATGTATCTTCATTTGTGATACATACATTGCATACAATCACTTGATTGATACATATTAATTTCTTTATTTGTCTGAAAAGAGAATCGATAAATATTTCTATCGATTAAATTCTTCTGAAAAAATTTGATATAAATCTTCCGTAATTAATAATTCTACACGTTTGTAATTTTATTCACAAGAATCTCCTCTTTTTATTATCTATATATTTTGCAGGTATGTGTTTTATAAAAAAATCGCGAACTCTATTATTTTATGAGAAACTAAACTTTCAAGTAGATAGGCCACGATCGTGAGATCCTGAAATGTCGTGAGATACATTTTGTGGGCATGATAAAGAGTTAAGGGCCGTAAGTTAAGGGGCATTATCATTTTACTCAATCCGTCGGCGGTGCATGCTCGTTGTATCCTGTTATTTGATGTTGAGAGAAGTGCGAAGATGTTTATCGGCTAGCGGAAGCCCCCGATTATCATATCTGACGCGGTAGATTCACATGCTATTGAGAATGTAAGTGCTACTTTGTGACTCACTTGTTATTAACTTATTACCACATGTCGGGTCCTTGTCGTTTCTGCGACGCTGAAACGCGACACACATTGCGATTGACAGATCACACGACCGCTACTACGCCTTATCGCGACGACCTAACGTTGTGACGCAGATTTGTGCGAGCTGCGCAAATCGCGGGATTTATCGGCGTGTGTACCCCTCGCGTACCTCTCGTCCGTCCCGGAGCATTGATCTCTTCGCAAATATATCATTCATCGAATACATCCATTTTATATATCTTCCGTAAATAATAGCTCTTATCGAAGTATGCTTGCTGGACAAGACTATGCTTCAATAGGTCTAAATTGTTGCAATGATTAAAATCTAAAAATTTTGAAAAGACATATTTACATAATAATTTTTTACATATATATTAATATACGACACGTAAATGTGTATGTTAATATAGTAAAATTATTGAAACAAAATTGTATACATATGATTATGCATACGATTTTTAAAATCCATTATTCTTGCTTAGAACTTTGCGTATTTAACATAATATTTTTGCAATGTCTTTAGTAGATCTTATCCGATAGATCGTGGAAATTGTCAAAAATTATTTGCTCTCTTCATAAAATATTTCGATGAGACAGAGACATTTAAATGAACCAAAAAACAGCACGCGTGCATATAAGAATTGATTATGTGTGACTTATTGTTATAGAGATATTTTTCTCTTAATTCTACATATATGCTCCAAAGTTTCGCATGATAAAATACATGCGAACAATTATGAATGATTAGTAAATAGCAACGAAATATATAAACGAGACAACACGGGATTTCATAGTAATAATAATAATTATTATTATAACGATGATGTGATAGCAATAATACAAATAATAATATTAATAATAATAGTGGTACTGGTACTAAATCGTAATAATAATAATAATAATAATGACATATGTAATATCTCTAAAAAGAAGACAGAGTCGAGCTACTTACTATATAGTTTATCGGAATGGGGATGTGTAGAAGTGCTTGTCATTTTCAGATGGGATATAGGGGGATTCCATAGGGGGATGACAGATATCGATCGGGAGGGGACCCTGGGTTCGTCCTCGCGGACAGATCGCGGTGTCCGCCAGGACGAACGGGAACGCCACTCGGTGCCAGGCCGAGTCGCATTCCGGGGTGAGGCGAGGGGGAGGGGGATCATCGTGTGTTCTCCATCACGGTCGTCGGGATTACCGAGATCGAGCGTCGATCACGTGCGTATCGATGAAATAACAATCGATACGAGTGTCGTTCCACCCGTGGGCGATGCCGCCGACAGTATCCGGCAACACGCGATCGTCCCCGGAGATGCGCTACCGAGATCGTAGTGCGCCGTGAAAATCGGACAACCCTACCCTAGAAAGATTGATCGGGTCGATGGGGTCGTTCCTTCGCGCTTTCTCTCTCTTTCTCTCATTCACGCTGCGCTGATACTTTTACATTTTCTGGGCTCATCGTTACATGCTTCTTATTCTGACATTTCGACGTTTGCATTCTTGCGCTCTTGCTCGCTTTCAGACACACACACACATACATTCTATCGCTTGCTTTCGCATCTGTCGTATCGCGGCAAACTCGTGCATGCGTCTCGTAGAGACGCCGATGCATGAGCTCGACCCGATCCTTAAGAGGAGCAGTCCTCCTCTTCCTCGAGATGGTACTGCTGCTGCTTCTATTGCTGCCGCGCTGCTGAGGTTACTCGTCGATCAAACCCTCCTCGCGCCAAAATTTATTGCTCGGGCTTCGGGAGCAATTCCGCCAACTTGGACTTGTCCTTCTGTTCCTTCTGTTCCTCGGAGGACTCCTCGCTGCTCTTGGTCTCCTTGCTATCCTCGCTGGGCTTCTCTTCGGAAGATTCGTTGGAACGCTCCTTCGGCTCTTTAGCGCCTTCCTGAACTGGCTGTTGAGCAGGTTGTTGAGCAGGCTGTTGCTCCGGTTGCGACTTCTCAGCAAGCGGAAGCTCCGACTTGGCCTGAGGCTGTTCGAGGACTGTCTCCGCTGCGCCTCGCTTGATTTGACTGGACTCCTGAGACTGTGCCGCCGGCTGCTGTTCGTTGACCGCCTTCACTTGCTGGACGGGAGCCTCGGCGCTCTTCGGTTCTTTCTCAGGCTCCTCCTCGGCTATTGTTTCCTCGCTCGGATTCTGAGCTCTGACGGCCGGTTGTTCGACAGGTACCGTTTCTGGTTGTTCGCTCTTGGTGAGTATATGTTCTTCGGATGAGGGCGCGATATCCGCTGCGATCTGTTCGGTCTCGACAGGTCCGGATTTCTCCAACGGCTGGGCTGATTCCTGGGCGGCGGGAACGACCGGGACGGCGGGGACGACCGGGACAGCCGGGACGTTTTGCGTTCCTTCCGCGACGTTGGCAATTCCGACGGTCTCGCGGGTTACGCGGTCGGGCTTCTCCTCGATCTTGGCGAGCGACTGAATCGTGGATTCCTTCGGCTGTTCGGTCGCCTCGATCTTCTTCTCCTCAGTGGCAGGGGTCGCGGGAATTTCTGGAATTTCCTCTTTCTTCGGGATTGACGGGGTTGCCAAAGGTTCTTCTAATTTCTTTTCCTCCTTCAGTTCTTCCTTGACGATCTCGGCGACGGCGTCGTCAGCGCGCTTCTCGATGGCCGCAATAACAGGCTTCTCGGTCGCGGGTTCCGCTGGCTCCGCATTCTTGCCTTGAACGGCTGGTTGTTCCTCCTGGAAAACGCAAAATTGGAGGGTTAAATTTACCTTGAGAATAGTGTAAAAAGCGTTGAAGTATGATTAGATAAACGAGACAATTGTCATTGGATCAAGATAAACTATTCGATCATCGGAAATTAAAAAAGCTTACTGCTTTCTCGGCTGGAACCTCGGCCGGCTGCGGCGCGGGCTGCACCGACTCTTTGGCCTCGGAAGCGGCCCCCTTCAAGGACTCGTGCTCCTGCTTCTCGGCCTCGGCGGCCAACACCTTCGGCTCCTCTTTCTCCACGGAATCGATTTGCTCTTCGGATGACTTGGGCTGTACCTGGACTTCCTGGATCACCGCTTTCGGCTGTTCTGGCTCTTTCTTCGTCTCGATTGGCTTGGCTTCCTCGGAGCTCTTGGCAGACGCGACGACCGCGGCGGACGGCTCGGTCGGCTTAATCTCCGCCGCAGATTCCGCAGGTGCGTTACTCTGCACAGCATCCGCCGCTTTCAGGGCAGTCTCCGCCGGGATCTTCTCCTCGACAGACACGACCGGTAGCGGCTCGTGGCCCGCCTGGTGATCGGCCACCGGCATGGTTGCAACCATCTTCAGCCCCAAGAGGCACACCATTGTAATTACGGCGAACTTTATCATCGTGATATCTGCAAAAAAAAAAAGATTGAATTTTAGATTGGTGAATTATATATTATAAAATTGACAAAATCTCGTTAACTTAATTCTGTTAAAATGAAGGTTCTATTAAAGTACAAAGTTTTTTTTTTTTACAATTTTTAACAATTCCACGAAATATTTGAAAATATAATTATTTTATATTATAAAGGATAAAGGAAAATATATTTTCGATTAAAACTTAAGATTATGCTTTTTTTAACTAACTTTATGATTCATTTATTGTTACACATTATTTAAAGTTACAGAATTAAAAATAATTACGAACGTTACAATCTTTTTTTTTTTCTTTCCAACGATTGATCCTTCTATATCTAATAATGCTCACTCAGACCTACATCGAGAAAATGTTGAGACACGCAATCTTTCAGTTAGACGAACGGACGCGAGGACGAGCTGTCGTCGTGAGAGCTTGTCATGAATGGGACAAACGCATGAATGGACCCGATCGTGGATCGCGAGACGAAAGTACGACAGCTATGATCGCGTTAATGGGAAGAAGAGCCGGAATATGGGATGCGGGGAGAAACGGGAACGTCACGCTCGGTACCGATGGACATTTTACATCGGGGTTGCCGCGAGAGAATCGGCAGGAAGGAGAGGGACGTGTGACATTGAACCGAATGCACCGAATAAGGCGAACGTTATGGAACTAATGACAGGATGCGTGCCCCTCACGCTCGTTACGTACGCGCATACGGTTTCTCCGTGTACGTTTGGTTTCTCACTCCGTATAATATATGGAGAACAAGCGTTTTTCGTATCGACTCTTGTTTTATAAGGTGAATAAAATATTAAGGATGGATCGCTCATTTATATCTCAAATAAAAATTTACGTGGAGAAATGCCGGGGCATCGATGGCTTTTAAGATACAGGCGATTGAAAATGAAATTATATTTCGAGTAGATTTTACTTTTCAATAAATATTAGATTTGCGTTTGTATATAACGTGTAAATTTATTCTAGAATAACAGATTTGAAACGTTCATATTTTATGCGAAAATAAAAATAATAAATTAGCATTGCGTGATGCGAGTTCTTTGCATCGTAAACGATCGCGAAATGCAAAACATCGCTACGCGAGTGAAACACTAGATTAGTCTGTTTACGAGTAGGCGTATAGACATGAAATCGAAGATAAACGACGCGGTATTTACGCGTCATCGGGTTTGGTGTGGCTGGATTGGCAATCATTAACGCTCGAGTTAACCGTGATCATTGTTACAAAAGCAATCACTTTTCCAGTCTAGCTTGCTATTCTGCACGACTATCATCGATTGTTTCAGCAACAATTTCAATAGAAAGTCATCACTAAAAATAATATTTAATTTTACTTTTGTATTTAATTTCATGCACCCCTTTTTGAATATATTGATTAAAAATTATGAAATGTAATCTTGAAATCAATTTTTAATGATATGTAAAAAATTCAGGAGGTTTATGTTATTCTTAAATCATATGAAGTAATGAAGATTTCTCTTAGATTTGCTTATATTCGCTCTTCGAAAGCGGAGATTGCGCTTGTCGTACGCCTCGTGGAAACTGTCGGGTTGCGGCAAACCGGAATGCGTTGTCGGCGCGGTAGAATCGAGAGGGAAAGACGGCGACAAAGATAGGAACAACGAGGCGTAGTAACGGAGGACAGTGAACGGGCGGAAGGTAGGAAAACGATCGAATTTTTACGGTGAGATCGGCGCGAGTTCGCGTTTGGCGACACAATTTCAGCTGGCTGCAACTGCCATATTCTTGCGAAGCCGGCTGTCTTTTCGTAACCGCGTCGCCGATCTCGTTAATATCACCGAAACCACCTTGCAATAGAAAGCGGATCGATTTCTCCCCCTGATTTTTATCAAAAATTATATCTGTGAGTATTCGCGAGCAGAAGATATCCGGATATCAAATGCAGAAGTATCTTTTTAATTATAATCGTAAAGGCTGATTTTGATTTGCAATTATCGAGGGTTTCGACAAAAGAGTGATGTAAGACTCAAAACAGACAGCTAAGATTCAAGTCTCCAAATATTCGCGTATGGAAGTGTCCGCGACGAATATAATTACACCGGATGTAGGCGATGTGGTGCGTCGTCGTAATAAACTTAATTGCGAGCCGATTCAAGTACCATACCCGTCGACTCATTATCCGTGCATCACACGTACGTTAATTATTTCCTATACGACGTCACGAGACAACATATGACGGATGCGCGCGTGGCGATACCAACGATTTCGACGTAATCTCTTCCGTTCCACGCAATCTTCGAAGAGAGAAAGAAGAAGAAGAAGAAGAAGAAGTAGAAGGAATGGACGAAATTTTTTCGAAGAGGAAGGCGACGCGTCGTTGATCGCGCTACGAATACAAATAAGTGTTCGTCGGCCAGGTCGATAGATGCAGGAAATGCCTGTGAAAGATGATGGACGTCGATTACCTCATCAAGATCATCAGAGATGTAATGATGGTACCACGCTTACAAAGAAGTCGCGTATGCCATCAAGCGCTTCAACGGCAATGATTATAGCCTTTTGCTTCTTCTCTCTCTCTTTCTTCTCGCCTTTCATCCTCGCGGTTTCTGATTGCGGCGTATTGAAATAGCGCCTGCTCGTCTAATCTGAAGCCGCGAAATTCCTTGGTTCAATCTAAATTTACGAAATGCAGCGCTCGTGCAGCGGGAAATTGCGAGATTTATGTTCCTTGCCTGTTTTAAATCTATGTAACTTACTTCGTCGCACGAGGAAGATCCTATTAATTAAGAACAGAGATCGTTTGCAGTATGATGCTCGCCGAATATAAAGAAAAAGGAAGCTATTCGAGAAGATGGCCGCCGGTTGGTGACCTCGAGTTGACGTTGCGGCGCAGGTAATTCGCAGATTGACAGATTAGGCTGTCTAATTAAGGATCGGAAAGCGCGTCGCGAGAGAGGGACGCGAAATTACGCAAACGCGGTTGCTGCTTGAGAAATCTACAAATTATGTATACAGCGACGACGTAGTGCACGCTTTGCACGCGAATGACGCACGTTTTGACCTCTTAACACCGGACTCTCCATCAGAGATGTAATGATGGTACCACGCTTACAAAGAAGTCGCGTATGCCATCAAGCGCTTCAACGTCAATGATTATAGCCCTTTGCTTCTTCTCTCTCTCTCTTTCTTCTCGCCTTTCATCCTCGCGGTTTCTGATTGCGGCGTATTGAAATAGCGCCTGCTCGTCTAATCTGAAGCCGCGAAATTCCTTGGTTCAATCTAAATTTACGAAATGCAGCGCTCGTGCAGCGGGAAATTGCGAGATTTGTGTTCCTTGCCTGTTTTAAATCTATGTAACTTACTTCGTCGCACGAGGAAGATCCTATTAATTAAGAACAGAGATCGTTTGCAGTATGATGCTCGCCGAATATAAAGAAAAAGGAAGCTATTCGAGAAGATGGCCGCCGGTTGGTGACCTCGAGTTGACGTTGCGGCGCAGGTAATTCGCAGATTGACAGATTAGGCTGTCTAATTAAGGATCGGAAAGCGCGTCGCGAGAGAGGGACGCGAAATTACGCAAACGCGGTTGCTGCTTGAGAAATCTACAAATTATGTATACAGCGACGACGTAGTGCACGCTTTGCACGCGAATGACGCACGTTTTGACCTCTTAACACCGGACTCTCTTGACACGTAAAAGACAGAGTTGTTCGTGAGTTAATCTTTTCTTATGGACTCTTTACAACTATGAATGTCATATATATCTAATGAGAGACATTTGTTTCACAGAGAAACATAAAAGTGAATAAAATTTCATGCGAATAATCCGTTGAAATTTCTCGCAATTAATTTGCATTGTTATTTTATATTTAGTATTTTATATTATTTTATTTGTTATTTTATATTATTTTATTTATACTAATTAATATAAAAATAATAAATTTGCACGCGAACACTACGATGCATTTTTATCCTGTTTCTCGATAATTTCAAAAAAATTCTTTGCTCGCGCTGCAGCCAAAGAGATTTTAATATAAAATAATAAGAAACTTAAATTTACATTAGATTATATTCGATTATACTGCAATTTTTTGATATGAGATTATAATTTTTTCTTTCTCCTTCTGAATTAAAATTAGCGATTACAAATAATAAATATGTACATATTTTATAAACAATTTCTTCTTAATTATTTTTAATATAAGACAAACAGCTTAATGTTTAGGGGATTCGATAATCGTCTTTGTTGGCAAAGAGGGAGACGTTTTATCGAGGCGCGTCGCTATTTCGAAAATCCGTGTTTGCTGCGCCTCGACTAATTGAACGAGCGATTACCAGCGTGAACGGTGAATAATAGCATTGTCGCGCTCCACTTTCAAAACTGTCTCTATTACCGTCGCGGTAAAATCGCGACACGGTGACTCGTTATCGAGTCCTACGCGTATTGCGAAAGTAGCGTAGCTAGCCTCGAGAAAAGTCTCCTGCGCACAAAATTAATAATCAGTCCGAGTCAACCGCGTCTGACGATCACACATGTCACTTGGACTCGAGATTTTATCAAACGGCTATTATAAAGTCTATCGCGTAATTCATGTTTCGAAATTAAATGAAACATTGGATTCCAGGTTTAAATTCATATAAGATTTAATGATAAATTGATGAAATGTCAAAAGCGAGAAAAAATTTCACTTAATAATTACGGATCGTGATCGATTATTGAGAGAAGTTTTCGAATTCGCGTTTTGCTCGATGTCAAATTTCCAAGCTTATGACTTAACGAAAAAATTCGATGGATTGACAAGCGTTTCGAGATTGTCGACTCAAGTAATCCGTGGTGGTCGACAGACGACGACTTGTCTCGTTTCCTATCGAAAGAGCATCTCTCTCTCTCTGTCGCGAGACAGAGTTTCTTTGCTCGAGGGTTGCAAAACTCTGCGAAAGAAAATGAAGATTGTGTACTCACGTCTTTTTCTTTTCTCCGTAAGCGAGTAACTTTTTGCTAGACGAGTTGGCGTCGGGCACGGCTTCCTTTGCTCTTCTTCGGCTTCTCTTGCTCTTGTCCCTCGGGTCGGCTCTCACCGGTTCGCGTAAACTATCGATCAGCGCGATCGATCGGAGAACGAAATAACGCGGGGGAGTTCTGTCCCTTCTCTTTCTCTCTCCCTGTCTGTCTTCCCTCTCTCTCTTTTTTTCGCGCGCGTGCAGATTACGCTCGTTTGCGAAGGATCGTTGGCGATCGGGATGAAGGTTGGGTCGTGTGTCGAGATGGAATCGTCGGGGCCCCGCTTATATACCCATTTACCCACCCGTGCTAGCGGCCAGGATCGTGCAAGGGGGCCCCGACCCTCCTCGCCGATCGAGCCACCGGGAGGGGCCCCTCTTTTAGTCTTCTCTTCGCCGCCCTTCTTGGACTCTATCTGCTTACCTACCTACCTACCTACCTACCTACCTTATCTCTCTCCTTGTCTTACATCTTTTCCTCCTACACCGCTTCTAGCATTTCTGCCTCGATCTCGCTCGCTTCTGCTTACTTTCAACTTGCTCGCCGATTCTTTTGCTCTTTTCCGTTTCGACCCACGACATCTACACTCGACTGTCTCATATGCCCGGTCCTGAAAAGATCTCCGAGTTTGAGAATGAATTCGTAACGTGGCTTGTGTTGCTGACCTAGTGGGATAACGTCTTGAATGGACTTAACCCTTTAATTACGAACACTGTGTATGTATGTACGTTCAGCTAGAATAGAAACTTTGCAATAAAAACTAAAGCACTTCCTACTATTATTTATTAATCATTGTATACGTCACGTTGATGTAAAGATAAAAATAATTAATCTGAACGATATAAGCCTGTGACTCGTAAAGAATTAAATCGTGTATCGTATATAAGACATTCTATATTATTTTATAGCAAAATCGTCTTTGGTTTACTACCAATTACTAGGATGTTTTTAGTAGAATCGTAAAGTTGCTTTTACATAATATGAGATAACTTTTGTGAACCGTAGATAAGTTTCGGTTAAACTTAGATATTCCAAACAACTCAGAAAATTCAGAAGAAGAATAAGAGATACATAACTGCCTACATGAATGCCTGAGAAACCTGAAAAAAGATTAGGAAGTTTTTTAAAACTTCTGAAATACATCTTATTATTCAACGTATATTTCTCTCATCTATATTTTTATATTTTTATATTTAATACTTTATTATTCGTCACATTATAGCATACAGGATGGCATTGCGAAAATTTATATGATCTGTCTGCTAATACACAAATTATTTTATTGTCTATTAAAGATATATGCGGTCGTTCATACTTGCCCGATTAATCGTAGTTGAGGACGCACCTGCAAACTTCGCATGCCGGTATGACGTGTCGCGTTTGTGTTTTAAAAGCATTCATTTGGGACCATTCAACATATCGAGCGGAAGTGCAACGGCAGGACTATATAGGCTATGACAGACCTTGAATACGTTTGAAGGGCCCAATCGACATTTATTTTTTACAAATTTGCAGTGAGTAATTAATTCTCAACAAAAATAAAAAAACAGATTATTTAATGGGTTTAAGGAATTAATTAAATGAAATGCAAAGTGTGTTTTCGAAATATATATGTGCTCTATCACACATTGTTAAAAGTCCCGCTATTTATCCATTATTCCTCGGTAAATTTAAAGGACGTTTATTAAGTCTTAACAAACTGTTATCGTCCTTCCAACTTTTAAATATGAATTATCAGCAATATGACCTTTTCTTCTTGGCGTGAGGACAAATCTTTTCCGTTGAGGGCAAGATTCGTGTCGTCAGTACTTACATACGTGTCTTTCTCTCATTCGCGGCAAAGATGTTTCTCTCAATGGACGTAAATGAATCTCGCACGTGCTCGACATGTTTAAATGGCCGAAAGTTTGCGTGAGCAACAGCTATTTTGTTTTTAATTCTTAAAGAAAAAGAGATTTTTTTAACTTTCACTATCGAAAAAGTATCGCACAATAATACAAATTTTCCACCAAAAATATTTCTCGATATATAATTAATACTCTCTTATATTTTTCCATATAAATAAAAGAGAAAATATACAGATACAATAAAATAAAAATTTTTCGTAAAAGCATTAAGAAGAACGGCTATGGGAAACTGAGCATTCTTCATTTAAAATCCTTAACCAAATATTCACCAGATAAACAAGGAGATCAATAATTATGGCTTTCTCTGCAATAGTTACTCATAAAATAAGGATTTTAATCATTATTTTTTTATCCATTGAAATTTCCATTACACTGCATTACTTTACGCATCGCAAATATACTGCGAATTTGATAAATCTTGAGCCGCCAAGAAAATTGTTTTATTTCATTGCTGTGATTCATCGAGGAACGCACGATGAATCGCGTACGCGTGTGATACACGCGTCAGTGCGCACATATATATAGACACTATTATGTAAACCATAAGTTTACATATCGTTCTGTCTCGACGCAGCATAATCATTTCATTAAAAATTATGTATCAATATTGACGATAAACCCTTACAATTTCAACATAATAATTAACATTTTTAATTCATTTTTGAAACGCGTGTTTGCGTTTTTGTACTTAATCTTCCTAAATTTATTAAGGTCATGCGGTTGGAATCATGATTTATATGATCATCGCGGCTATTTAAATGATATTTCGAAAACAGAGATTTGTATATATTTTCTCTCTCTTGTTACTTGGTCCAAAATCTTTTTACGAATATTATAAAAATACACGCTATATATATATATATTTTTTTTTTTCCGTTCATAATTCGTATAGTTTTTAATATTCATTCCTTCGATTAAAATAATATGCTATCGGTAATTTTCCTCATCATCGCTAAAATATTTTTGCGCCTAAACTGAAAGAGCCGTTATTATACTAGCGTTTTCGCGGTCGATGCGTGCATAATTAATGCAAGATTAAAATCGTGAATAATTCATGATTTTTATCTTGATGGTGTTATATGTAGCTTATCAGAAATGAGATCGATGACCTCGCTTGTTCGCTATCTCGACTTCACATCGTAAAACTTTGGAAAACTTTAAATCATTGGCAGGCCGTAAAATAAATTGAATTTTGCATATTTTTGTAGAAGGTACAATTAAAAACTGTTCTTTTCAACTAAATTACGCAGTTTATATTCCTCCAGAAAGAGTAAATTACTTTTTATTCATTAAAACGTATTTTTAGCGATCAATTTTCTACCCTTGAAGAAATTTAGAATATCTGACTTTTCTATTGTTGGCTATGAGTAAATTTTCACCCATGAATAGACACGTGATATTCTCGGTGCTCTTTTTTACGTATTCTTTCGTAATATCGTGCTCTCTTCCTGGATTCTCAGTTATTGCTAAGGCGGTGGCGGCGGTTGCTTTACAACCAACGATTCCCAACCGTTATATACCGTTAGAATAATACGCGTTTATTAAAGTTGCCGTTTGCGAAAAAGCAGATTCTCCATACGTTTGTATGCAATTACATCTAACGTTTATAAAACGAAAATTCTTCTAGGTTTCTTAAATTTTTAGCATTAAATAAGTTTATAATTAACGCCTAAATTTTTGCTAAAAAGAAATTAATTCTAAATTTAAAAGAATACTTTATAAACTTTATTTTATATTATTTTATATTTTCAGCTCTTTCTCTCTCTCTCTCTCTCTATATATATATATATGGGATCTTATATATATTTTACTTGGATGTTATTTCGCCTACTTTGCTACATAACGTGGAAAAAATAAAATATTAATGTGTGAAATATATAAATCTTATTCGTTACAGATTGCGTGAAAAAGATCGTATAAACAGATATGCTACCGGGAATCCCGGTATAATTCGTTTTTGTGATATAATTATCGCAATGCTAATTACTACATAATTGTGCTGCTTCGAGAAAAAGTACAACGTTTTTATTTTTAGTTCTTATAACGTTGTAAGCACCGCTCATTTACGTTGTCTCTTTAACAGCACTAATTGCGAATAACGTCCGGCCGCGTATATCACGTAGAGATTCTCGTAAGTTTTATGTGTTAATTCCGGAAAGTATATCTTTACACAAGCATATATATCCGAAGGACGGCGTCGATGATTCCCGCGAACCGCAAGGCTAAAAACAAATATTCTATTTAAATTATCCATTCGGGACAAGGATACCAGATATAAGGAAGAGAATGGCAGTTAGAATTATACGAAATTATTAAAGCTTTCCGAAGAAACCTTCGAGTGTCGTGAGACATTTCTATATATATAAATTTTTTTATTCTCAAATTTTTTAGAGGCAAGAATCTTGTTTTTTTTTTCAATAAAATGGAAGAAAATTTGCATTCTTTTTGCGATATATTCCGTGCAAGAATTTGTCACATTGGAACGAAAACCTGAAACTCGGAGATACGCGAAATTCCCGTTTTAAATCGATCTGCCACGCCACTTTGCTCTTGCGTCCTGTTGTCCGCTTATCCCCGGTGCTGATTAGCACAGACGCGATTTCTCACAGTCCGGCACGTGCATCAAGGACGCCATTGATGTGCGCGCATATAAAGTCGGGATTTTATTGCCGCGTATAATAAAAATAAGCGCAATGTATACACACTTGCGTGCGTCTGCGATATTCCGCAGAAATAATTATTTTGTGGATAATAATGCCGCGTACTTGACTTTCGTTAACCGCAAAGATTTCATTACCCATCCTGTTGTTTTACATATGTTGTATTACGTAACGTTCCTTTTCTCGAATGGAAAATTCGCGAACGACGCTTTTTGCGATTCAGTTACAACGGCGATAATTGCCTCGGTTAAATAATCGGTTCGTCAATGACTCACGAACTGCCAATGAGACTTTTAGCAATATCTTGGCACGAGGTGTGCCGAGGACGCTGTTAAAGTGTCATCAAGTGACGTATTTGGTACCGCACAAAACGGTCGCACCTATGTTGCAACTGTTATTGACCGTGAGCGATTTATAACAATTATTTATCATGTATCATACTGATGTGCAGAGGATGATATATGTTAACAGTGTTCCATAATGACATTCTCATCACGTTTAATCCAAGAATGTGCAACCTATCAAATGCATGAACGAACGTGATAAGCGCGATAAGCGATGTATTCGTACATCAAACTTTAAAGTGTGCGACAAATCGTGAGCTTTTCAAATTCTTAGGAATGTTTTGGATGTACAATAGTAGCAAAAAACTATCAAAATTAAAAAAAAAAACATATTTCTTACGTTTATATAATTTATAATTATAATTATAATT